GTTCAGAAGGGGGGGCAGTGGTGTCGACGATTTCGAATTTTTTCTCTTAAATAATTATTAATTATTGGTGATTACGCACCACCGCCAACGCAGTTTTAGACGCGGAGCAAGGAATGGTTCGGGTCATCAGAGTTGGGATGAGTTGCAAGCGTGTGATGGTCAAGGTGAGGTGAGAGGTGAGATTTGGTGCAGGTTGGTCCAGATGTCTTGTGAGCCCCATTTAATTATCTAACACTTTTTTTGTTACATATATAGGTATAAGGTTAATTTAAAACAGAAATTAATATGCAAAGAGGGGGAAAACATTTTGGGGTCATTTATTTGGTGGGGGGGGGGGGGGGGTGGCGGGGGGGTGGTCACAAGATATCTGGACCACCACCCACCCCTGTCCCCCGCGACAGGCGCTCAATCTCAATGGGAGGTCACCGGCGAGCAGAAAACTCCACAGTGGCTACTGCTGCTGTCCAATTGTCATGCTGTGAAGGGCCATTGCCCGGAACGTCGCCGCAGAATTATTTTTTTTTAATCCGTCTCAAACCGTGTCGATACGCGTCAGTCGGTGTTGCCAACAGCCACGATGTATCCGCTGCCAGATGGAATCCCATGCCAGATTCCCTGCCAGTTTCGGGATGAAACTGCGTCGAGCGCCACGTTTTGAGTTGCTTCGAGAGCTCCGTGTCAAGAGCTTCATAGCTCATCGGATTCCTCCACGATATTCGTATTCTGACCACCGCTCTCCGAACACGTACTGTATTCAAACAACCGACATTCGCCACTAAGTGGCGGTGACGTCACCACGACGCTTGTGCCAGGACATGTGCTGGCAGGTCACGGGGCAGACCCAGGTGCCACAGATCGACTGAGACGACTGGCTGGTGCACCACCTGTGCCCCCTACTGTGCTTTAGCCACCCGGCGCTCCGCTCGTTGTTGTGAGCGTCGCTCCTCCGCCCTCCGTTGTCGTTGGAGGGCGACTGCCTCCAACTGCTCAGTAGCGTCCTTCACGAGCCTCCTCCACAGAGGCCGATCTTGATACCGCTGGTACCAGTCATCGGCAAGTCCACTCAGCTCCACGTCCTCCTGTACCACATCACTCCATCTCTTCTTTAGCCCGTGCCGCGCCCGTTTAGCCCCCTCGATCCGGCCGATCCGGCCGAACAGAAGCTGCTTGGGAATGCGGTGGCTGGGCATGCGGGTTACATGACCCAGCCTGCCAGAGGAGTTCACTGATAGGAGTAAAGCGACGTGGCCAGTTGGAGGCGCTGCTGCTGAGCCTGGAGCGTGCCACTCAAAGAGATGGGGCCTTACCATCAGCCTCACCAACACTAAGCACCTGCCTGGGTATTTTGTGCCACCAAACGCTCCACCCCATCAGGTGTCCGTTGGTGATGCAGCAGTTGTGGTGAGTTTCCCATTCCTTGGCAGTGTACTTACGACCAGCTCCAGCAGAGGTCTCACTCCGGATCAGTCGGGCGGCATTATATTTTCATCAGCTGCGTAACGCTGTGTGGAAGCTACCTGGTCTGTCTCCGCACGAATCTTTGGGTCTTCTCGGCCATGGTCATGCCCTCCCTTCTCTACGCTTGTGAAACATGGACCCCTCTAATAGAGTGAACACTGCCCTACACACAATGACAAATATCCCCCGGATAGCCTTAACAGACTGTAGGGGCAAGTGCTGTTAGCGAGCACCTATAAAGGCCGGAACGGTACGAGCACCACGCCCGACCGCCTTTGTCTCCCCAGTGGCGATGTTTACACACCGCACCAGGTACTCATTTGAGGCTGAGTCGACCTAGGGGAGTCCCAGGACCGATTCAGATAATCGTCACTGGGTGTTGGCCGTGAACGGGAATCGAACTTGGGTCGTCGGGTTCGTAGCGCAGCGCGCTAACCGCTACACCACCGCTCCCCACACACACACGTACACACACACCCCTACACGCAGCTGCAAGCAAGTTATTTTATTCGTCCCGTTTCTCTGCCTGCAGTGCGCGAGTGGCACGGCCTCCACTCTCTGAGAGGGGTGGGAGGGTTGGTGCATACGTAATTCACCGTCCCAACCTCACCACTCCCTGACCCCTGACCTCGTCAAACCCGAACGCAGCACCACCCCGCTGGCCACCAACCTGGGTCAACTGTGTTCATACTCGACCGCCATTCCACGTTTTCCAGTATTCCGCTGCTTGATTTTCATTGCTGCTTCCCCGCACCCCCATCCGCCGCCGCACCCGACAAAGACAAGTAGACTGGTAAGCGTGGAAAAGAGCGGGTGTCGCCAGCTGGCCGTGAACAGCGCGGAGTTTTAAAGAGGCCACGAGTCCAGTTGCAAAAAATAAGAAAACCACCCGTGGCGAAATTATTCTCCGCGCCCCAACTGTAAACATCGGCGTGCGGGAGAGACCGGGCGTGCACTCGACACGGTCGGTAAACGGTGGCCCGCCGACACGGAACACCTCACGGGGGGGACCGCCGCAGCCCTTGGTCACGCGGTGGGCAGCAAAACGCGGGGCAGAGGGAAAGTGCGGCAAAAGCCACCGCTGCTCTGTAATTCCATGCTCCCACCCCGCCGTCTTCACCAACCCGCGCTCGACTCCGGGGTGGCGGAGCGTGACCCAATAACCCCTACGTCTCGCACGACGCAGCCCCGACCCAGCAGTGCATGAACAAGGCAAGCCGCGACAACCGCTTTGACCACTTGACCAAGGGAACGTCCAAACTCGGGAGAGAATGATCGCGTGCGATCATTCTCTCGGCTGTTGGGGCAGTTTTACACTTTGCTTTAGACGCCACTGGAACGCACAATTAAGTCGGGGTACGGCGGCGGGGGAGGTGGTGTCGGGGTGTTGTGCTAACTGGAAATCGAGCTCGGGCACGAGCTTTGTGCGGCTCACCATCGCCACCGCCGACACCGGAGGAGGTGGTGGCTATGTTGACCGCGCGTCCCACAGAGCCTGCCGACGGAGACGTCGTCGCTTACAACGCTGGACGGCACGCGACGTGGCGGTGGTTGCCCCCTGGGAATGGGTGGGAGGGGAGGCCGGCAACCTGGGGGGGGGGGGGGGGGGGGGGGCTGCAGGGGGGTCCACGTAGCTACCGGGTTCACGAATCGCTCGGCTCGTCGGCCGCCACCGCTCGCTCTGCCACGCCGAACCGCTGGCGCCGGGCCGTTTCGCGTGTTTCCAATCGAGGCGTTCTTTCCGGTTTGCGTGGGCACGCCACCCGGGGGGGGGGGGGGTCTCACTCCCTGGCAGGAGCGCGCGGGGGAAGGGGGGGCCACGGCGCTGGCGGAGGAGGAGGGCGCAGCCACCGCTGTTGTTGCCAGGGACGCGCGTTGTTATAAAAAAAAAACATAAAAAGGCGACAGCTGTTTTGAGTTTGAGAAATTTACAGGACTGTCGATGCACACCCAACCCCGGTGCCGGGCCCAGGATCGCACCGAATCAGCCGTGCGTACACGACATGTTACATATGTGGCACGCCCGGGGGGGGGGGGGGGGGGTGGGGGCATCGCGGAGGAACGTGACAACCGCTCGCAACCAAAACCATCGCCAACACCGTCAGCGGCGACCCTCCTGCATTCCACTTGATCCTAACGCGCCCTTTACGTCGCTTCACAATTCCCAAGCCGGCCTTTCGTGCTCTCCTTTTATTTATATTTTTTGTTAACTTAAAACAAATGCTTTGGGCAAAAAAAAAAATCTCGCAAGCAGTGCGGCAGGTGCCGAGGAGGGCGGGGCGGGGGGGAGTGAGTGGCGGCACCGGTCACATGACTGCCCCCGAGATGGCGACTTGACCCTGCGGCGCCACGGTGGCCAGGGGCCAGCCCGCTTGGGGGTTTCGCCATTCTCTCACGCGCTCAAAAAAAATTATTCAATTCAACCCGCGTCGTCTCTCCGGACTTCGCGACCCCCTCGCGCCGAATCCGAAACACGTGCCGATGCGTGCCCGTCTGATCACACTCCCTCGCTCGCGCTCGCTCAGACACGCACGCTCGCTGGTACACGCACGCTCGCTCAGACACGCACGCTCGCTCGTACACGCACGCTCGCCATGCGCACACGCTCGCTCACGCAGACTTACACACGAGCGCGTGTTCTTTTTTGTACATTAGCATGCACAATCGCCTGCACACCCACTTGTTCACAGAGACTTGCTCAACAACACCCCCACGGTCTGCACTTGCTCGCGCGCAATCACTCGCTCACACTTGCATAAGCGTCCTCTCACATGTTCACAGGCACTATGCTCATTCGCACGCACACACACAGCGGCAGGCACACACACAAAGATAAAGATCCCCCATATAGCTTTAAGACTGTAGGGGCAAGTGCTGTTAGCGAGCACCTATGAAGGCCGGAACGGTACACGAGGGGGTGGGTGGCCAGCACCACGCCCGACCGCCTTTGTCTCCCTAGTGGCAATGTTTACACACCGCACCAGGTACTCATTTGAGGCTGAGTCGACCTAGGGGAGGCCCGCGTCCGGTTCAGATAATCGTCACTGGTGTTGGCCGTGAGCGGGAATCGAACCCGGGTCGCCAGGTTCATAGCGCAGCGCGCTAACCGCTACACTACCGTTCCCCACACACACTGGCACACACACACACACTGGCACGCACACACACACAGTGGCACACACAGTGACACACACACACACTGACACACGCACGCACAGTGGCACGCACACACACACACAGTGGCACACACACACTGGCACACACACACAGTGGCACACACACACACACACACTGGTACACGCACACACACAGTGGCACACACACACACACTAGCACACACACACACTGGCACAACACACACACACTGGCACACACACACACACTGGCACACACACACACACTGGCACACACACACTGGCACACACACACACACTGGCACACACACACACACTGGCACACACACACTGGCACTCACACACACACTGGTACACGCACACACACAGTGGCACACACACAGTAGCACACACACACAGTAGCACACACACACACAGTAGCACACACACACAGTGACACACACAGTGACACACACACTGGCACACACACACTGGCACACACACACTGGCACACACACACACGCCGCCTCGCTCGTTCGCTAGCTCGCATGCTCCATCTCCGTCGCTCCGCTTGGTGTGGAGGCCCCCCCCTCTGCCGTCATCGTTCCCTCCGCTCCCCCTCACCCCCCCCGCCCCCCGGTTCCCCCAACCCCTTCCCAGACGAAGTCTTCACTGCTAGGCCTTCCCTCCCTTCGTAGGCGCATCCTTGACTGCGGGCGGGGGGGGGGGGGAGTGAAAACAGCGCAAACGAAATGGTGTGAGCAGCGGTTTACAATCGCATCTAAGGGTCAGGATGCATGCCGCGTACGAATCGGCTGTTCACGCTTTTCTTACGCAAACGATGCAACGTAAAAACGTGGAAGATGCCGGGTGCGATCTTGTAGTTAATTCAAGATTAGATTTGGGACGAGTGGGGAGATTGCGGAGTGCTGGGGTGACGCCATCTCGTTGCCAGTTGAGGGTCAGGGGCCTGGCAGCGGGAGTTTGGACCTGGTGAGAGTTTGGGGGATTTTGGGAATAGATGGCAGTGGAGTGGAGGAGGTGGTGGAGGGAGATAGAGAAGAAGAGGAAGAGGTGGGGATTGACGAGAAGGGAGGAGATGGGGGGTGGGGATGGGAGAAATATTCGGGGAGAAGGTGGGGGTAGGTGGGGGAAACGGTAGTACGTGGGGGAGCAGGAGGGGAGGAGGTGGGAGCAGGAGGGGAGGAGGTGGGGGGAGAGGTGGGAGGGTACGTGGGAGAGTACGTGGGAGGGTACGTGGGAGAGTACGTGGGGGTCAGGAGGGGAGGAGGTGGGAGAGTACGTGGGGGAGCAGGAGGGGAGGAGGTGGGAGAGTACGTGGGAGAGTACGTGGGGGTCAGGAGGGGAGGAGGTGGGAGCAGCCACAGGAGGTGGCCGGACCTTTCTTGTCCTCGTCGCGTTTCCGTGCCGCGTCCTCGCGCTGCTTGCGGATGATCGCCAACCGGGCGAGGTCGGCGCGGGCCTGGTCCGTCTTCCCCGCCAGGTGCAACTTCATGTAGCGCTCCTTCGCCTGCTGCTTCTCCAGTTCCTCCCTACGCGCACGCAGACAAAGATTACCCCCTCCCCCGCGTGTAGCCTAAACAGACTGTTGGGGAAAGTGCTGTCGGCGAGCGCCTGTGAAGGCCGGCACGGCACACGAGGTGGTGGTGGTGGTGTTTACACTGGTAACACTAGATTTCGACATTAAAACTCCCCCCCCGAAGGAATGTATTGCCGTAGAACCTCATCTGGTGTCGCACTCGTTCATGAGGACAACCCACATATCCAAGTTTAAATGAATACAACAGATTAGCTCTCACATGACACCCTATTTTCAAAGAACCCTATACTAATTATTACCATTATTCAACTAGATCATCCAAACAAAGCCCACGTCTCAAGGCGTTGAGAGGAGGGTACCCACTGAGATGTGGGAGTAGGAGGCAACCGAAAACAAGTCATTTGCGGTGTAATTTTTTAAAATTCGTAAACCTGGACCTTAACGTCAGCACAGAATGGCCTGCAGGCTTTGTCAAGTGACCTCGCAGGACCCCCGACGTCCCCTGCCATTGACGCGGACTTGGCCGAGCATTTTAAAGGTCAATTCATTCACGCCGCGGAATTAACCAAGAGGCAACCTGCCAAAACATGGAGCCGCTAATTAGCCTGCCGGAACCGCGAAACCTCCACGTCGGGCGCCCAGAGCACGCCGACGCTCGGCCGTGTCGCCACGGTAACCCTCGCCTGTCGAGAGGGACCCTCGCCTGTCCACAGGGACCCTCGCCTGTCCACAGCGACCCTCACTTCTCCACAGGGACCCTCACCTGTCCACAGGGACCCTCACCTGTCCACAGGGTGCCTCACCTGTCCACAGGGACCCTCGCCTGTCCACAGGGACCCTCGCCTGTCCACAGGGACCCTCGCCTCTACACAGGGACCCTCGCCTGTCCACAGGGACCCTCGCCTGTCCACAGGGACCCTCACCTGTCCACAGGGACCCTCACCTGTCCACAGGGTGCCTCGCCTGTCCACAGGGACCCTCGCCTGTCCACAGGGACCCTCACCTCTCTACAGGGACCCTCGCCTGTCCACAGGGACCCTCACTTCTCTACAGAGACCCTCACCTCTCACGGCGCGACAGCTCCCGTGGCGCCGCCTCGTCCACCGTCATGTCCGTCACCTTCTTGTTGCGCTGCGCCACGCGGTTGGGGTTCTCTATGTCGATGAGCCCCTCCACGCCCTTACGCTTTTGCTGTTGGCGAACGTGAATGGACAACACGCGCGTGAAGATGAAGATCCCCCACCCCGCGCGGACTTTGACAGACTGTTAGCGGGCACTTATGAAGGGCGGCAAAGCGTACGGGGAGGGGGGGCGAGGGCAGGTGGCCAGTGCCACGCCCGGCCGCCTACATCTCCGCGGTGCTCATGTTTACCCACTGCATCAGGTACTCATTTCAAGGTTGAGTCGACCTAGGAGAGGCCCAGGACCGGCTCAAAGTACCGCCACTGTTACTGGTCACGAGGGGGAATTGAACTCGGGTCGCCGGGTTTGTAGCGCAGTGCACTAACCACCACACAACACCAGATGCCACTGGCAGTGACATTACCACGGCGTTTGTGTCAGGCCAGGGATGACAGAGATGGCTGACAGATGTACCACCTGTGCCTCCTACTGTGTCAGCTTGTTGCATTTTAGCCGCCCTGCTTATTGTTGTGAACAAGCGCGCGCACGCACACGCGCGCACATACACACGCACGCACATACACACGTGCCCACGGACATAAGTACGTACGCGGGTACGCACATACACATGTGCACTTGAAAATCTGAAATTGTAAATATTAAGAGGGTCAGTGGGGGGGTGAGCGGGGACGGTGAGTGAGGGGTTTGCTGACCAGCGAGTCGTCGTCGCTGCTTTCAGATTCCGAGTCGGATCCTTGCGTTGCTGACGCTGCCGCTCCCCCACCGTCCTCTCCGTCCACACTGGGAGGCTGTGAGGGGTACGCACACACACGCATTCACACACACACATGCAGACACGCGTTCACACACACGCAGACACGCGTTCACACACACGCAGACACGCGTTCACACACACGCAGACACGCGTTCACACACACGCAGACACGCGTTCACACACACGCAGACACGCGTTCACACACACGCAGACACGCATTCACACACATACGCAGATACACGCGTTCACACATAGGGATACACAAGTTCATACACACAAACACGCGGATACACGAGTTAACACAAGTGCGAATACACGCGTTCACACACACACGCAGATACACTCGTTCACACATATACGGATACACGCGTTAACACATACGGATGCATGAGTCTATACGTACAAACACGCAGACATACGCGTTCGCACACACATGCAGATACACGTGTTAACACAAGCGCAGATACACACATTCACACACGTGGATACATGTGTTCACAAACGCATATACACGCGTTCACACACATATACGCGGATACACGCATTCAGACACACAGATAAACGCGTTCACATGGACACGTTCACATCGACACATGACACCACATGGCCATGCGCGTTCACATGCACACACACGGGAACACGTGTGTTCATAGGCACATGGGGACATGCTCGAGTTGCCACCTCTGAGATAGAATAATTTAGAACATATCAAGAAGAGGGCTATCTCAGAGTATGACAGGAGGGAGAACTAGGTGCAAATGCATTGTCTCGACTGGTGTGTTATTATTAGGCAACTGAACAAAAGACAGATTTCCCAGCACAGCTACCTCAGGAGGATCAAGAGTGGAAAGGTGGCAACTCTAGGACACGCACATGTTTGCACGCACACAATCATCAGCCTTGAATGAATCATCAGCTTTGGATAATTCACTTCTGGATGAAGGTCGCCTCCAAGCCACTGCCATCTCCCTCGATCCAAAAATGCAACGCTGTACCTAGCACCTGCACGCGATCTGATGAGCCCATCTCATTGTACCATCTACTCGGTAGACATCATGTCAGAGTTGACATTTCTTAAAGTTTTAATTGCCCCATTACGCAGCTGGGTACAGGGAATGGCTTGCGGCTCTTGTCTGCAGCACTACGTACCCAAAGAGTCCTGCATATCCAAGCAGCCCTACGTATCCAAGCAGCCCTGCGTATCCAAGCAGCCCTACGTATCCAAGCAGCCTTGCGTATCCAAGCAGCTCTACGTATCCAAGCAGCCCTAAATATCCAAGCAGCCCTACGTATCCAAGCAGCCCTGTGTATCCAAGCAGCCCTACGTATCCAAGCAGCCCTGCATATCCAAGCAGCCCTTCGTATCCAAGCAGCCCTGTGTATCCAAGCAGCCCTTCGTATCCAAGCAGCCCTTCGTATCCAAGCAGCCCTGTGTATCCAAGCAGCCCTACGTATCCAAGCAGCCCTGTGTATCCAAGCAGCCCTGTGTATCCAAGCAGCCCTATGTATCCAAGCAGCTCTACGTATCCAAGCAGCCCTGTGTATCCAAGCAGCTCTACGTATCCAAGCAGCCCTGCGTATCCAAGCAGCCCTGTGTATCCAAGCAGCTCTACGTATCCAAGCAGCCCTGCGTATCCAAGCAGCCCTTTGTATCCAAGCAGCCCTGTGTATCCAAGCAGCCCTGTGTATCCAAGCAGCCCTACGTATCCAAGCAGCCTTGCGTATCCAAGCAGCCCTTCGTATCCAAGCAGCCTTGCGTATCCAAGCAGCTCTACGTATCCAAGCAGCCCTGTGTATCCAAGCAGCCCTGCGTATCCAAGCAGCCCTTCGTATCCCAGCAGCCCTATGTATCCAAGCAGCCCTGTGTATCCAAGCAGCTCTACGTATCCAAGCAGCCTTGCGTATCCAAGCAGCTCTACGTATCCAAGCAGCCCTGTGTATCCAAGCAGCCCTGTGTATCCAAGCAGCCCTGTGTATCCAAGCAGCCCTACGTATCCAAGCAGCTCTATGTATCCAAGCAGCCCTTCGTATCCAAGCAGCCCTACGTATCCAAGCAGCCCTACGTATCCAAGCAGCCCTGTGTATCCAAGCAGCCCTGCGTATCCAAGCAGCCCTGCGTATCCAAGCAGCCCTTCGTATCCAAGCAGCCCTGCGTATCCAAGCAGCCCTATGTATCCAAGCAGCTCTACGTATCCAAGCAGCCCTGCGTATCCAAGCAGCCTTGTGTATCCAAGCAGCCCTGCGTATTCAAGCAGCCCTATGTATCCAAGCAGCCCTACGTATCCAGGCAGCCCTACGTATCCAAGCAGCTCTACGTATCCAAGCAGCCCTGCGTATCCAAGCAGTGGTGGTCGAAACCGCAGTGGCAATGCCGACACTTGGGACACGAGTTTAGTTTCACAGCTGAGCGCGCAATTGCTGCCACAATGCTTACATTGAGCTTATCTGCTTCCATCTGTCTCTTGAGCTCCTCGGGGTCGGTGAATTGCTTGGCCCGGCCTTTATGGCCACCTTTCCTTCCTGCTCACACAGAACAAACACACGGACATGAGCGCGGCCCCATGGATCGGGTTTGGTTCTCCCTCTCACCCTTCCATCAATGTCTGTTTTACACTTGAGCAGCTCCACGATGTTCCCCACGGACATTTCAGCCACCTTAAAGATGTGGGCAATTATTCGTAAAATAATTAATTGGATTTCTACTTGAGGCATGGTATGTGAACCAAACAGGACTGTAATTCAACTCTTCTTGTTGAGGGAGAAATGCTCCTTAAATGTTCTTTAAGCACCAAGTTGGCAAACGTGCTCAGTTCAGACAAAATGATTTTTGTATCCGCACTCGGACAGCGAACATGCATTTAGATTTGTGTACGTGTCAAACCAATGGCCGACTGACTCCATGAATAGGCCACATCGTCTGGAACCATAATTACCAGCGAAATTACACCAAATGTTGCAAAAAATCAGCTCGTCTTTAAACGTTAACCGAGGTTGCATAATTTGCGTAACTGCTCATTGTGCATCGGTTAAGCCGTGACTTCAACCCGTTAACACTCAGCAAGAATGCAGCAGCACCCCCCTCTCCACCCCCCAGGGTGGACGAGTGGGCTCCTGTGACGCCCGAATTAAGTGCGACGTGAGACCGTAAGTTATCACCCAGGATCTATTGATTCTTCCCGAAAAGCCACTTGGGACTCGGGAGAGAAGATGGCCGACTGCATTCAGACTGTCCAGTGCATTATAGGCGGTTAAATTCACTTGGTTTAAGGGTTTGTGTAGGAAATCGAGTAAGATTTTGAGTCAACATTATTGTTGGGGTGAGTATAATGGGTTTATATTATGATTATGGTTAGGGTTGGCCGGCAGAGATGGGCAATATTTAAACATGTAATTCAATATATTTTCATGATATTCGTCTCGCAGAACGCATATCTAAATTACACACCTCAAATGAGTAATTTGACTATACATGACTTTACTTCAGTAATTTCTCAGTTGAATGTATTTTATTCATGGTGCAGTGGGGTTTGCTAAATTGCCTAATGTTACGGTGGGAAATAGGGTTAAGAATAGGTTATGGTTAGGGTTTATTAATAGCAGCAGGTAAGGAGACTGGGTGGCTATGGGGTTTAGGTTTAATACTCGGGATATGGGCTTGGAATTAGGGTTGGGAATGGAATTGGGGTTATGGATTAGAAATAGAACGAGGGGTATGTCCCCTGCTGGGTTACAAATACCATGACCCACGGCCACCATCTGGGACCTTCCCACAGTCGACTGCAATGCTTGATCAGTCACTCATGAGCGTACTCGGCCACTCTAAATACAAAAACCCATATCCCGTCACCACAAAGCCACCACACCATCATCAACACCACCACACCATATCACCATCAACACATCCACCTCATAACCTCACCATAACCATCATACCACCCCAATGACGTAACACCACCATATCACCATCACCCCATCCACCTCACCATAACCATCATACCACCACCATACCAACATCACCACACCAACACCACCTCCAACTACTGGAACACACCACCTGCAAGCACAATCATCACCGCAAGCACAATTTTGGTATTTGAAGCATCTAAATGCAGTTACAAATGCATCTCAAGAGATCTCAACAACACAAAACTACAGCACCACCATCATCATCATCACCAGCACCACCATCATCATCATCACCAACACCACATAACGACAATTACAATTAAAATATATCTCAAATTATCCCAACAACAAAAAATATCACGACAATTGCTGACACCGCCCGGGCCACGACACATGAGGGCGGTGGGGGGGGGGGGAGACTAAACCCCGGGGAGAATCCAGGCGAGACCGAGGCTGCACAACGCGGTACGGAGCGCTAGGCCGCAAGGTGCGGGGGTGCAGAAGCCCCGCGGGGAGGAGGTGGAGATTGTGGATGAGGAGGTGAGAGGCGAGGCGGGGAGAGACGACGAGGTGGAGGAGGATGAGCGAGAAGGCGAGGCGGACGTGGAGAAGCTGGCATCACCTCGCGGCATCTTGAACCGCGCGTCTTGCCGCTTGCCGCCGGAGCCAAGCTCTTCCGGGTCGCACCCCGAGGTCTCCGCGAGGTTTTAATTTTTTTAAACTAAAATACTTCATACCGTAGCGATGCGATTAAGTGTACAACACCACCATCCGTGATATCGTTCAGCGGCCGGGTTTAACATATTATCTCTTATTACTTGTAAAAAAATAAAAATTTAATAAATAATCATCTCTCGGTGACCCCGGAAGGAACCCAGCAGGGGCGGACACGAGGCGGAGCGACTTCCCGAGGGGTCGAACTGCGCGCGGTGTTTCGCCTCTCCGGTTGATCCGTCCCTGGTACCCCCACAGATCGCAGGTACCCCCACAGATCGCAGGTACCCCCACAGATCGCAGGTACCCCCACAGATCGCAGGTACCCCCACAGATCGCAGGTACCCCCACAGATCGCAGGTACCCCCACAGATCGCAGGTACCCCCACAGATCGCAGGTACCCCCAGAGATCGCAGGTACCCCCACAGATCGCAGGTACCCCCACAGATCGCAGGTACCCCCACAGATCGCAGGTACCCCCACAGATCGCAGGTACCCCCACAGATCGCAGGTACCCCCGGATCGCAGGTTCCCCCGGATCGCAGGCACCCCCGGGTACCCGACCCTTCCCGGCTACTTAAGTTCCCGTGGGCCTAGAGGCCAGCCGCTACGTCGTCGGCTCCTGGCGTTGGCTGCCCAAAGGTTTCGGGTCCACGGTTTCTCGGGGCACGGGGGGAGCCCTCGGCTCTGTGGCGACACAGAACCTCGCGTCTCGGATCACAGGCCTCAGACTGCCTCCACCCCAGGTTCCTAGGCGCCAGGGTCCCAGAGCTCTGTTCGCCACTCTCCCCGGGACCCCCTTTCATAGCACCCCGGATTCATATAAGCGAAGATTAGTAGGATCGGTGTCCCAGATTGCTCGGACCTCCGATACCTAGGAAACTAGATTATTCAGGCTGCAGAACTCAGGTATTTTATTCCGAGGATCTAAGATTCATAGGACCCGCCAGATTCATATCCTAGCAGATTCTAAGTGCCCCAGATTGCGAGGACCCCGGGTCACAGATTCCTAGGAAACCAACTTCACAGTACCCCAGATTTCCAGGATACAAGGTTCCTAGATTTCTATGAGCCCATGTCCCAGACTCCCAGGATACCAGATTTCCAATACCCCAAATTGCTAGGACACCAGGTCCCAGATTCCTAAGATACCAGTTTCCAGGTATCCCAGATTGCTAGGACTCCAGGTTTCCAGAATACCAGGTTCCCAGATCCCTAGATTGCTAGGACACCATGTCCCAGATTCCTAAGATACCAGTTTCCGGGTATCCCAGATTGCTAGGACTCCAGGTTGCCAGGATACCAGGTTCCCAGTATCCCAAATTGCTAGGACACCAGGTCCCAGATTGCTAAGATACTAGCGTCCACGTACCACAGATTGCTAGGACTCCATGTTTCCAGGATACCAGGTTCCCAGATCCCCAGATTGCTAGGACACCAGGTCCCAGATTATTAAGATACCAGCTCCCAAGTACCTCACATTGTTAGGACACCAGGTCCCATGGTTGCCAGGTTTCCAGGATACCAGGTTCCCAATACCCCAAATTGCTAGGACAGCATATCCAAGATTCCTAAGATACCAGCTTCCAAGTACCCCAGATTGCTAGGACTCCAGGTTTCCAGGATACCAGGTTCCCAGTACTGCAAATTTCTAGGACACCTTGTCCCAGATTCCTTGAACACCAGCTTCTCAGTACCCCCAGGTCGCTGGGAGCCCAGATTCCAGCCCCATGTGTTTGCTCTTCTCCTTCCCCGTCAGAGTCGCGATGCCCAAGGTGAAGAGGAGCCGGAAGCCGCCGCCCGATGGCTGGGAGCTCATCGAGCCCACACTGGACGAGCTGGACCAGAAGATGAGGGAAGGTACGTGCCGCCTCCATGGTTCATTGTTTAACTAACTTCTCCACGTCCCCGACACGGCTGCTGCCTGGCCTCACCTGGTTGCTGTTAACGAGGGATGAGAGACCGTGTCAGGGTTAGGGGCACAGGGCTAAAATGAGGTCGAGGTTGTGATCAGAGGTCAGGGTTAGGGCTTGAGACAGGGTCAGAGTTAGGTCGGGGGTCTTAGGTCGGGGGTCTTGGTTAGGTCAGGGCCATGGAGTTAGGCTTGGGTTAGCGTTGCGAGCTCAAATCCTTGCCACGTTTATAATTAGTACATTTGGCATCTGCGTCATTCTTACAGGACAAGGCTGTCAAGAAATCGCTATTTCACAGGCGAATATAGCAGCCCAGTAGGGGGCGATGTTAGCAGGTTTTTTTTACCAAATTATATAAGAGATTGTGCTTGTTTAGTATTTTTTTGACAATTGGACCGTGACGCCGGCACGCTTGGCCTATACTTTCTCAAATCGCGTGACGGGATCTTTAACGTCCATGTACTCTATGTATGTTGGACGTCTTTCGCACCGTACGTAGCCAACCGTGCTAATCGGAGGTCCTTCACTGTGAAGCGGAGCAGTGGCTACGGTCAACGCACCCCGAGCCACGAACCTCCGGACTCACGTCGCCGGTGTCGTTAACGTCGTCGCCTCGTTAACGTCGTCGCCTCGTTAACGTCGTCGCCTCGTTAACGTCGTCGCCTCGTTAACGTCGTTGCCTCGTTAAGCCCGTCCTGCCCCCCCCCCCCCCCCACCGCGTGTCCGCCCTCAGCTGAGACGGAGCCACACGAAGGGAAGCGGAAGGTGGAGGCGCTGTGGCCGATCTTCCGGATCCACCACCAGAAGTCCCGCTACATCTTCGACCTCTTCTACAAGAGGCACGCCATCAGCAGAGGTGCGTAGCAGGAAGGAGAGAAATGCACGCGCCCCTTGTGTCAGCCCACGTGTCTTCATTGAGTGTCTCCCCACAGCCCTGCCCCCCCCACAGCCTATGCGTATTAACAAGGGATTGTTGTCTCTGTGCACGTGCGCACGTGTGTGTGGTATGGCCACGTGTGTCTTTATCTTTTGAGTGTGTCTTTATCTTTTGAGTGTGTGTGTGTGTGTGCATGTGTGTACGAGCGGTAGTTAGGCTGGCCTGCCTACGATCCATCCTGGGTTTAACCAGGCTGGATTGTGTGAAGAGCTCACAATTCCTTGAAAGATCTGGGCAAAGTCCCATCGGTGAGCTCCTTCGGCAGGCAAGGCTGCGTTGGCTGGGGTCAAGTGCTCGCTAAGCACTTATGAAGGTCGTCTGTTAATGCTATACGGGGGGGGGGGGGGTGGGGGACGGTTTGTCTTTGTGCGTGTGTGTCCACGCGTAGAGCTGTACGATTACTGCGTGAAGGAGGGCTACGCCGACGCCAGTCTCATCGCCAAGTGGAAGAAGCCGGGCTACGAGAACCTCTGCTGCCTGCGCTGCATTCAAACGCGCGACACAAACTTCGGCACCAACTGTATCTGCCGCGTCCCCAAGGCCAAGCTGGAGGAGGTGCCCCCCCCGACCCCCCCCCCCGCGCCCCCTCCCAAGAGGGGCCCTGCACCCCAGGGCCCAAATACACAGGGGACACTCTCAAACACCCTGAGACAAAGATCCTCGTCGCAGCCTTCACAGACTCGAGCATCCATGAAGGCCGGCACAGCACACGAGGGGGTGGCCGGCGCCAGACCCGACCGCCTTTGTCTCCCCAGTGGCGATGTTTACACGTCGCACAAGGTGCTCGGAGGGGTCCACTCCCCTATGGGGTCACGCTGGTCAGGGCCCACTCAGTTATGGGGTCACACAGGTCAGAGCCTACAAACAACGCAGTCTACACGTGCACCTTGGAAAGGACCCTTCACACAAAATGAGGTTGCACGCTTTAGGACCCACGCGCACCAGGGCCCATGTGCTAATGAACACCTCTCCAGGAGGCCACGTGAGAAGGCCTAGGAAGCAGTTTGTGACCTAGGAAGCAGTTTCTCTGAAGTCACCTTCCAAAGTTCCGAATGGCGATTCCGTCATCTCACGATTGTGTGATGCCGAGAAACACAAATAGAATGTAAATGTGAAAAGGGGCAAATAGAGTAACAATGCTAATGGCTCTTCTCCTCTCCCCTCCTCCCCCGGTGCCCGTGTGGTGCAGGGCAAGATCGTCGAGTGCGTTCACTGTGGGTGTCGGGGCTGCTCCGGATGAGATCTCGGGCACCGTTATCCCTCCCTCCCTCACTGCCCACACTCCTTCTGGCCTCCGTGCACCCCACACACTTTTATGTTTTTTGTTATTTACTGACGATGTAGAAACTTCCTTTTGCATTGTTTTCCTTTCTACTTGGCACTCACCTGCTATTTACATGCGAAAGCCCAGTTTGCCTTGGTCCAGTGAAGCGGGAGCTGCAAATTTTAAGTTGGGGGGGGGTGGGTGGGCAGTGTCCTTGGGGGAAGAAAAAAACTCAATGATCCACAAATGCTCATTGTACAGAGAGGGGCTGGTTGGGTTGAGCGGGAGGAGAAAAGTGGGCCAACCGTGTGAATCATCAAATGCTTTCAGAATTGAGCGCGTACATTTTTTAAATAATAAAACGTGGTTTGTCGATTGTTTCAATGAAGCCAGCATGAGTTATGTTTTCAAAAAAGTAAATCTTTGTCACATTTTTCCAAGATACTCTACTTAATGAATAAATAATTTGCTGCCCTTTGTCAATCAGCTGACCGATGAAAGGGCCGCTTCCCTATGATGTATCGGTCACGGGGACTTGAACCATACTTCACCAATACTGGTCGCTGTGGGATTTGGTTTATTGGGTAGGTGGATGAATGGCCCAGGACTGGCTCAGGTCTAACTTCACTTATATGCGTCACGGTCGCCGGAGATCAAACTCGGGTCACAAGGTTCATAGCGTACTGCGCTAACCGCAGCACCGCCGCTCCCATAGCGTGGTGTTTCATAAATATAACTGACGTAGAGTCGTTATCGCCTCTGGTGAACTTTAGCAGTTGTTAGTCGTGTAGGGACAGATATCATTTGTTGACTTGCATCTGTATTGTACAGTTAGCATTGCAATAATTCATAACCAATTCTGAATGGCATAGCTGACATGGGGACCCAACGCTACAAGGGACGGTGGACATTGGCTGGGGCTAGCGACGGAGTGGCAACCCAAGGAGCGAACCGCGCTCCCGAGGACGGCTACCACGGAGATGGAGCGGATGAGTTGAGCTCGTGTGCACCGATGGGATTGCTGTATTGCGAGACCGAGAGAAGGTGACGACTTAAAGGGGTGGTGGGGGCGATCTTTATCCAGCAGTAGATGGATCATGGCCGGCTATGATATCTCTGTTGTGGGTAATTGTTCCACGTTGTGGATCTTGGTAGAGCGTGGATGTTCACGGTGCGTCTCTGTGCCAGGCGTGGAACGATGCATCCGCATTGGTTAGGGATGTCTTTCAGATTATTTTTTTGTATTGATTTCAAGTACCAGTATTGGATATAAAAATCGTGGCTTCGACGTACAAAATTTATGCAAAAAAAAACTTGAATTGATCCGAAAACATGACCGTTACAGGAAGTGGCGTCACTTCCACGTTACAAGTTGAATTTCTTTTGCTAAATCGAGATGTGACGTAGAATCAGAATCTGTCACCGTCACTTTTGCGAGCGTGAAGACAGGAAAAATTGGTGCGGAACGCGAATAATCCAATTGGCCATGAAAAATCCAAAACAGTGTAAACGGGGGAAACGGTCCTTTATCGCTCTGTTAGCTCACGGTAACGTACGTCTGTCCGAACGGCGTGCTTCAGATTCGACGTTTGAACCCACGTGTTGAAACCCGCGATCAACAAACTAAACAACTTTTTTATTTTACCAGGTAAGGCCTACTGAGCTGTACAGCTCTTGAGAAGCGACCTGGTCACAACTGATAGCTCAAAGAAAGTGGCTTTTCACGTGGAAATGTTTTGCAGCCAAATACTCAACGCACGTTGATTCTAAACGTGGAGGGGAAAGTCGGAGGACCCGGAGAAAACTCCACGTGATCACGGGTAGAGAGAGAGAGACACGCAGGCTCCAAATATACAGCAGCAGGCGTCAGGGTTGGGATCGAACCCACGAACCTCACGCGAACTAGGCGAGGGAGTTAACATCTCTTAGCCACCGTGGCGTCACCACTACTACCCCGCATCTCGCCCCGCACCGGGAGATATTTGCATAATCGTGACGCGAGCTTCCCCCCCCCCAACCCCTCTCTGCAGGGCTTGATGCAAACACAGACCACCATCAATCCCCCTGTGATGCTTATTGCCTCATCATTCAATTATAGAGTCCGGCCCAGGGGCGCGCCTGTGTTTGTTGTGTGTGCGCGCGCGCGGTTTTTGTAATCGTTATTTCTAAATGAACGATGCGTTCCCGTGTCATGGTTAAGGCTGGACAAAATAAAAGATCAATTGCCCATCCCAATGGTTTTTTTGTATCTTGTCCGCAATTATCCATCAGTGTCGGCCCGCAACATCGCTAATGTTTGGCCATGATAACGATGTCAATTGTTGCTTGAAAATAATATTTATTGTTGGGTAGTAATCACTCCTGCAAAGTATTCCCAACAGGGTACTTGCACTGTGGTCGGTATAGCAGCGGTGGTGTCATTTATTGAGCCGGGGCCGAGGGAACACGGGACCATTGAGGCACGTGACAACAATGCCTCTAAATTACACGGGTAGCCTGGCTTACATACCACGTGCTGTGGAATACAACGGAGATCGAATGACAAATTCGAATTTAGCACGTTACGGAGGATTCTGCCTAAATGTACAATAAACACACTGTACGTTACTGGAAATGAAAGCTTAGCCGAGTATTGTTAAGAGGCGATGGCCCAGCAGTCTGTGAAGGCTACACGGGGGATCTTTGTGGCTGCGTGCGTGCGACTGTCTTTGTGACGTAGGCGCGTCGTCGAGAGAGGAGAGGGGGGGGGGCAGCAGCTTAGGCCCTCGTACAGAGCCAGAGAGAAGCAGGCAGCCCTCTCTGCACCCTCGCCCCCTCTCCACCAGGATGAAGTAAGCGAGCAGCAATCGGAGCTAGACATCTGTGAAACGGAGCTCTAGCTCCTCGGATCCCTCCAGTATAGATACAGATTCTGAGTATGAAGCCGTGGGCTGGGTTGGCGGGGGTGGGGTGCTGGTGGGAAGGGGGCTAAGAGCAGCAGGGAGGGAATTTAGTTGCAGCTGAGAGGCCGAGTGGTTCCGTGTTGGCGGGGCGACTGCTAAGAACGATGCCCAAAGGCCTGCTGGCGAAGTCATTGTTGTTCGCTCTGGGCACGGACGCACGGGGGTGAAATGGGTGGCTCCGTCCCCTCGCTTGCGAGCGATTTGGAGCTGGTTGCGGGCAACGCAGCGGCTGTGGCGGGTGCCTTGCACTCGCATGGGAGACGAGGCTTGTCGCCGCGGGTTTCCTTCCTGTCTGAGCGAGGCCGAAGACCGGACTCGGAATGGAGAGAGGTTCGTCGTGTCGGCGGGTTGAGCGACTGACAGCACGGGTTAAACGTGGAGCGAACAAAAGCATAGATGTTTTTTTTAATGAGGATTTAAATGCCAGTGGGGTTGAGGGTCAGGTGCAGAGTCAGGGTTTGGGTTGGCCACGTTGCGCTAAATATGGACACGTCAAACATCGTACGTCCGTGTGTGAATGCGTTTGCTTGTTTCTGTCACTAAATTTGACGAATTATTCAATTCCGAAATGGTTTGGTACATCGCCCTCTATAAATCTGGGTCTGTTTTCCCCACCACCACCCACCCCCACCACCCACCACTACCACCAACCCCCCACCACCCACCAAAGACATCGAGTCTAATTGAATTGCTCCGTGGTGCAGTGTGGGTAACGACCACCCCGGAGGAACTGCGCTCCCCCCCCCCCAAAGGCTGAACGACGTGGAGTGTGCGAGACATATCAGAATGTTTATTTATACTGGAGGAGGAATCCGATGAGCTATAAAGCTCTTTGTCACAGATATCCAGTAAGGGTTGGTCAGGACGTTACAACAACAAACAACACAACAAACACGATAGGAGTGCAAAGTATAGAAAAGGTAAATCAACTAAAAAATATGCACAAATAAAACCACAACATTTTTATTTATGCTTACCAGCTAAAGCACAATAAACTATTAACTTTTTTTTCAGAAGCGACCTGGCCACAAATGATAGTTCAACAGGGGGGTGGAGGTGGGGGGAGACGTGACTCAAGGTGGGTGTTGTTCAATGACCATCGGTGAAATCGCAAATTTGCTTTCAGACTCGACTCTCGCTTCCAAAGTGACGGAATCACGAACTGACTCCGGGGTCATTTGAGCGGTAAACGCAGGGCAATTTGCTCGCGCGAACTTTCGAGCTCATGCGTCACCACGTGGCACTTTGTATCGCGAGACATTGCCAGTAGCAGCCGCATCACCACCATCATCATCATCATCGCCCACCGCGAGCCATGATCAATTCCTCTGCCGCTTGAAGGCTTGCCCTGCGAGTTCAACAAAACCGTCCAGCAGGGCGCACGAGAGTTGAACTCATTACGGCGCCTCCTCGGTGGCCCTCGAACTCTCGAAACGCTCCACGGTGCTCAACAAGCTGGCCGCGGCTGATGACGCCGGCAGTCCATTCTCAAGCCACTGCTGGATGAGGGTTGTTTGACCATACCTCACCGCCATGGTCACCGCGAGGTTTTGGGTGAAAAGGGGCACCACATCCCCAGGACCGGTCCCGATGTCACCCGGCAGCTGATGTTAGCCGTGGCCGGGAATGGAACCCAAAGTGTGGTGAGATGTTAATTGCCTCGCCTGGCATACAGAAAGTTGTGGAGTCGATCCCGATCCTGACGCCTGCTGTATATATTTGGATTTTGCGTGTCTCCCTCTCTCTCTCTCTCCGTGGTCGGGTGGATTTTTCTCCGGTTCGTCCGCATTTAGAATAAACATCACGCGTTTAGAGTATTTCGCTGCTCCTATAAATCCTCACGTGATGAGCCCACTTCGTTGAGCTATCATTTGTGATAGCCAGGTCGCTTCTGAAAAAGAACGACAGAGCTCAGTGGGCCTTATCTGGTAAAATAAAATACAGCAATAATGTAGTAACGTCGCTGGGTTAATGGTGCAGTGCATCAACCACTACGCCACCGCTCCACCAATTACAATTGATAAACAGCCGTCGGGAGCGAATGTCTTGGAGAGGGTGGCGGGTCGGATTTATGGACTTTGATTTGAGGCCGTGTGTGATGGAGGGTTATCTGGCATTCATGCAACCGTAATTAATCTGGAGGCACAAAGTGCGGCTTGGGAGTGGTGGCGGTGGTGATATGTGGGGAGCCGTAGTAGCAGTGTCGCCAAAGATCCCCCCCGTAGAGCCTTAACAGACTGTTGGGGCAAGTGCTGTTAGCGAGCAGAACCAATGAAGGCCGGCACGGCACACGAGTGGGTGGGTGGCCAGCACCACGTCCGGCCGCCTTTGTCTCCCTGGTGGCGATGTTTATGCATCGTAGCTGGTACAGTACTTATTTTAGGCTAAATCGACCTACGGGAGGCCCAGGACCGGTTCAGATATTTGCCACTCATGTTGGCCGTGAGCGGGAATCGAACTCCGGTCATCAGGTTCGTAGCGCGGTGCGCTAACCGCTACACCCCCCCCCCCCCCACACGCACCCACACAGACAAAGATCTCCCGAATAGCCTCAAAAGACTGTTGAGGCAAGTGCTGTTAGCCAGCACCTATGAAGGCCGGCACGGCGCGAGGGGGTGGGTGGCCAACATCGCGCACCACTACATCCACTCACACATTAACACACACATGTTGACACACACACACCCCCACTCACACACACACGTACACACACACACATACACACACACACGTTGACACACACACACCCCCACTCACACACGTAAACACACATACGTTGACACACACCCACTCACACACACGTTGATACACACACACGTACACACACGTTGACACACGTACACACACACAAACGTTGACACACACACACGCGCGCACGCCGCTCCTGCGCGGAGCGCCTCGGTGTCTCTCTCCCGAGCCGAATGGAGGAGCAAGAGGAGGCTGCTGCTGTTGTTGATGTCGCGACTCTCGCTCTCGCCATGACGCCCGGCCGAGACGCGGAGCAGCAGCAGCAGCAGGAGGAGGAGGACGTGGAGGAGGAGGGGGACGCGACGTGCAGAGAGCGCGCTCAGCAGGAGATGGAGCGCAGCTCCGCGGGAGGAGCAGCGGGAGCCGTGAATCACGGATTCGACGAGAGTCCGGACAGCAGCTTCCCCTCCAGCCCCGAGCGCAACAACGACCAACAGGCGCTACGTGCGTGAGACGGGGCGGCGTGTGTGTGACTGGGGTGTGTGTGACTGGGGTGTGTGCGTGAGACGGGGCAACGTGTGTGTGACTGGGGTGTGTGCGTGAGACGGGGCAACGTGTGTGTCACTGGGGTGTGTGCGTGAGACGGGGCGGCGTGTGTGTGACTGGCGTGTGTGTGACTGGAGTGTGTGCGTGAGACGGGGCAACGTGTGTGTCACTGGGGTGTGTGTGACTGGGGTGTGTGCGTGAGACGGGGCGACGTGTGTGTCACTGGGGTGTGTGTGACTGGGGTGTGTGCGTGAGACGGGGCGGTGTGTGTGTCACTGGGGTGTGTGCGTGAGACGGGGCAACGTGTGTGTCACTGGGGTGTGTGCGTGAGACGGGGCGGCGTGTGTGTGACTGGGGTGTGTGTGACTGGGGTGTGTGCGTGAGACGGGGCGACGTGCGTGTGACTGGGTGTGTGTGACTGGGGTGTGTGCGTGAGACGGGACGACGTGTGTGTGACTGGGTGTGTGCGTGAGACGGGAGGTGTAACAGGCTGAGTGGGGAGCGGTGGTGTAGCGGTCAGCGCGCCGCGCTACGAACTCGATTCCCGCTCACGGCCAACACCGGTGACGATTATCTGAACCCGTCCTGGGCTTCCCCTAGGTCGACTCAGCCTCAAATGAGTACCTAGTGCGGTATGTAAACATCGCCGCTGGGGAGACAAAGGCGGCCGTGCGTGGTGGTGCTGGCCACCCACCCCCCTCGTGTACCGTGCCGGCCTTCATCGGTGCTGCTCGCTAACAGCACTTGCCTCAGCAGTCTGTTAAGGCTATACGGGGATCTTTGTTGTTGTCTGTGTAACAGGCTGTGTGCGGCAGAGTGTGCGTGGAATGAGGGATTAGTCGACCACGGAATTCGGCCTTCGCGAGCCGCCTCGTCCGCAGAGGAGGAGGAGGAGGAGGCTCGTGGGCAATTTTGAGGGCGGAGGGAGCGACGCTCACAACAACGAGCGGAGCGCCGGGCGGATAAAACGCAGCGAATTGGCACAGTAGGGGCGGCACACACACACACAGGCGGTGCATCAGCCGGTCGTCTCAGCCGGTCAACCCGTGGCACCT